CATGAAGATTATTAAAGATAAGGCATGTGGTGCTTAGCAGCTGGGCACCTGTAATCTCAGTGACTCTGGAGGCTGAGGCAGGAAGATCGCAAGTTTGAGGCCAGCCTCAGCAACTTAGTGAGACCCTAAGCAACTTAGTGAGACCCTGTCTCAAAATAAAAAATAAAAACCACTGGAGATGTAGCTCAGTGGTTAAGCACCCCTGGTTCAATCACCAGTACCAAAAAAAAAAAAAAAAAATGCTTAGCAGAATGTAAGTGCTTGATAAAGTGATTGACAAATTGTGTGTATGTGTGCACATGTGTGTACACACGATAGGGCGAGGGAGAGGACCGGAATTCTGCCATAAGCAGTATATTTATTGTTTATTCTAGCATCACACAATGCCTGGCACTTAATAAACATTTGCTAAAAGGGGGGAAAAAAACTGAATAAGCGCGTCTATAACTGAGATTATTGGAAAACTGTATTTTCCAGTGGAATCAGGGGAAGCTGGTCTATGAAATGACCACAGAGAAGTTTCTCAGTGGTTCCTTTTAGTAGAGAGTGACTCAGAAAAGTTGAGAAGAAAATTTCCTGAAGACCAAATATTCTGTCAATCCAACCAGTCACTTCTTCCAATCTTCTAGAACAATCTTGCTGAAGTTTTAGGCAAAAAAAAAAAAAGGTAAAATAAAAAAAAAAAAAAAAAAACAGAAGCAACCTACAGTCCAGATATTATCTACAGTTTCCTATCTGTCCCCGTGGCCCCTCCCTGCCCTCCTGGCTCCCTCCTGGGTGACCAGTGTTCATCCTCTAGACAGCAAGTGAATGTCCACGTTTACACGAGAGCAGCAGGCACTTCCTGGCTGGCTCCCTTCAGACAAGGAGCCTCTGTTCGCCTTGGGACTAGGGAGCAAACAGCCGCTGACAGTCCCAGCTGGTGAGTGAAAAGCCCCAGCGCCCAGAGACGGTTACGCTTTGCGTACATATTTTTGAGCAATGGATAGTTAGCAAACCCATCGGTTATGATATTGCCAGCCATTGAAAAAGCAACACCCAGCAATAGAGTTTACAAGTTAATGTTTAAGGAAACAAAGCTCGTCTATCTGGAGTTCCTCTTAAGTGGCAAAGTTTGCAAAGGTGTGTCCTTTCTAAATAAAGTGCTCTTACTGGTAGCTCATGCCCAATAGTGGTGGAGTATTGTTATGACTGTGTCTTACTTGGAGGTTGTGTTTATATCCAGCTTCAAGCCTTTAAAAAAACGTATATACATTTGAGACATTTTACTTGACTCCTATTAGAAACAAAAAAAAAACAAGAAAAGGAAAATGAGTGTTGCCACTGGACTTCAATGTTAGTGATGGAGTGTGGCTGGCTGGTGGTCACTGGTGTGCTCAAATGGATTCCAATTCCCTGCTTTGAATCAGCTTTGGCCTGCCTTGGGGGTCAAAGTGAGGCCTTTTGTTAGGGACCATCTTGAGTGGTGGGAGGGGCAACTAGTATTATAGGATTGTAGGTTGCTATTGTCTCACATCTGAGTTTTCAGAGTACTTTTTTTAAAAAGGGAAACTTCAGAAGAGAGAGAGGGAGAGGGAGAGAGAGAGAGAGAGAGAATATGCTCCCCAGAAGGGCATCGCAGATATTTAAGCCCCGCTGTCCCTCACTAACCCCATCCCCCAGGCCACTAACCCATGCGTTCTCCCTGACCCACAGACGGAATATAAATGAAATGCTTTGCTGTACAGGACACTAACTGGCAGTGGCCTGCTGGAGCTGAGGCCATTTTCTAAGCAGCTCACTAATCAGAAGTGACTGGGGCTCTGGAGAGAACACAGTCCAGCCCTGGTTCCACCCTCCATGCTAATGAAGAAGGCAGTGAGGTGGATAATTAAGGGCAGTGATGTGAATAATTCCAAACTGATCATTCGGAGGTAATGAAATGCACTAGGAGTTTTGGGGGCAGCAGACTTCCCTTACCAGACATGGCTGTTTTCTGATAAAATGAGCTGGTCTTTTCCAAGCACAGAGTCTGGGAGGAGCCGGCCTGGGAAGGCAGAGGTTGAAGGGAGGAGCTGACCTGGGATTACGAATTCATGCAGCCATGAAAAACAGTGTTTAGGAAGCTTGTGTAACCACACAGGGAGACACTCGTGATATGATCTTAAGGGGAAAAAAAAAATGAAGAAGCCTGCAAAGTGATATTGCTCACTACATCAATTTTGAAAACAAAACCAATAACATGCCAAGATAGTACACATGGGGAAGAAAGATTAGAAGAAAATCTACGACCAAGAAGGTTAGCAGTAGCTATTTGGGTAGTGGGACTGTATAGAGGGTTTATTTTTTCCTTTACCATAATTTTCCAAATTCTCTTATAGTAACTTGGATTGCTTTCATAATGGAAAAGGTGAACACATGGAAAATAATTTGGTGTGGCAAAAATTCCTCCCCAGCATGGACATAAAGCTAACTCATGTGGATGGACACGGAGTCCAGCTAGGCTACATTTTACTGCATAATCTGCTCAAAACCCCACAGCCCTCTTCTGGATAGAAATGTTTCCTCCATGAAGTTCATACTGAAGGGGAATCTCCCTGTCTGTGCTTTTCTGAAAGCTTCAGAGATGTTTCCAGAGACAGCAGGTTTGAGGCTACGATGATGATCTTCTGAGGGTATAATCAATTTCTACCTGTATCAGTCTCTTTTCCGTTACTGGTCACAAAATACCATAACGAAACAAAACAACCCCATCTGAGCCATAGTACTGCCATATTTCGTAGTTTCTTAGAACCTCTCCTTAATCTCGTGTCCCTAGTCTTCCAGTTTTAGAACTAGTTATGAACATGACCTATTAAAATTAAATGAGCTCCTTATTTCACTAAATCTTGGGACTAGTCAAGCTTTGGGTTTTATGGTCACTAGCTGAGAGAAGAGATTGGTTATTTCTCACTCTTTCTTATGAGACAAATGTAGGAGACTTGGTAATTATTTTGGGAAGACTTTTAATTTAATGAAGTTCATCTGCTACTCCATAATAAAATCCACACATTTGGGGCTGGGCTGGGGCTCAGCGGTAGCGCACTTGCCTGGCATGTGTGAGGCACTGGGTTCGATTCTCAGTCCCGCGTATAAATAAATAAAATAAAGGTCTATAAAATAAATAAATAAAATAAAATCCATATTTTCTTTTACAATTTTGGGAATTTCTAAACAGAATCTGCTATGATTCGAATATTGGTACCTCCCGAATTCACATGCTGAAATGACAAACCTCAAGGTGATGGTAGTAGGATGTGGGGCTTTGGGAAGGAGATTTTAGGTCATGAGATTGGACTTCACTGGAGCCTGAAGAGACCAGAGTTCTTCCCTTTCACTATAAGGACACATTGACAAGGTGCCAAATGGGCCCTCACCACATGTTGAATCTGCTGGCACCTGGATCTGGGACTTCCCAGCCTCTAGATTGTGAAAATAAATTTCTGTTGTTTATAAATCACCCAGTTGATGGTATTTTGTGTAGCAGCCTGAGTTCTAAGGAACTCTTTTTTGTCTTTTGGTGGGAAGGATACTGGGAATTGAACTCAGCCATATCCTCAGCACTTTTTTTTTTTTGGCATTTTATTCGGAGATGGAATCTCACTGAGTTCCTTAGGGCCTCGCAGTTGCTGAGCCTGGCTTCGAATATATTTGCTCTTATGTATAATCATATCATGGTCCTATATACCATCACCTAAAGGATGAGGGCAAGGATACTCATCTTAAGAAAATTGGATGAGACTGTGAAGTGATGAGTATCGTGTTTGGCAGGTGGTAAGTTCTGACTTAGATCTGTCAGGCAGGTGTATGCCAGTTACAAAGCTCACTTGGAAGAGCCAAAAGACACTTTCCCTACTTATGACCCCTTCTGAACACTGCCCTAGGTATAGGCAGCCATGTTTATACTCCAATGCCTTGCCCCTTTGACAAATGATTGAGTTGGAGAAGGCATTGGGCCTGAGAATAGTCGTCCTATAGGCTGGTTAACAGCTTATGATATCATACCTGCCTCTGCCCAATGAAATAATAGTATCCAGTTTTCTCAGCCAGGTCCTCTCACTGTGCACTGGAACTCATGACATGCTTAGAAATTCTATTAGCAAGAATAGCTCCATTTCCTCTCCGCCTCTCTCCCCTAGAAACAGACCCAGTCTGCTAGCCAGAGTTCCCTAAGCCCATCAGAGACTTTCCCTTAGATTTTTAGAGTTGGGCAGAAGGCTCTGTGGAACCCCGCTTCACTGCACATGCCTGCAGGGCCAGGCAGGCACACAAGTGAGACGTAGCCAGGTGTGGAGACAGCGGGGCTGGAGAGGACCTGTGACCAAAGAGAAGGCACTTTTGCCAAAGGCAATCCAATGAAAAGAAAATTTATACCTGTCTCTAATACTTGGCTAATAAAATAAATGAGGTCTTAATATGTCTCCCACTAGAGATTGGCTGCCCCATTTAATATCAGCTGAGAAGTCTGGGCCTCCTTCTCTCACCCTATAAATGAACTTTCTTCAAAGACTGGCTATAGGCACTTTATGGATGAGTTACTCTGCATTTGGTGGCTGATTAAATGATATCAAAGATGGAAACCTTAAAGGAAAAGATGGATATATTTGACTGAATAAATAAAATTTCTGCAAATTAGAATAATTTACAAATTAGAATAATTGTAAAATATAAATGTAGCATATTAATATAATATAAACATTATATTAATATGCTACATATTATATGTACAAATAAGTATAATTGTATATAAATAATGAAGAAAATGATAAACTAAAAAGTACTTGTGATAGATATTTTTGATGCTGCCAGCTATAATGATCATTAAGACTATGTGACTTCATTAAGGTAGTTACTTTATTCAGTTAGGCATTCCCAGCATACCTTGTCCACAAAATGGCAGGATATCACTTAAACTTCTGTTCCTCACTCCATCTGAGTAACCAAGCTCCAGATTAATCTAAGACTGCTGTGAGAAGTAAATATTTTGTTTTGTACTTTTTTTTATTGTTGGACCCTTAGTGTCAATGTCCAGGAAGATCTCTAAAGGGAGAAAGGAGAGTAAATCACAAAGGTGAACACAGCCATCATTCTTGATATTTTGTGTAATAAACCACCTGCAAACTTAAGGACATGCTACCAAATCACTCTATCATGATTTTGTAGACTGATGTGACTGGGAGAGCCAGGGTTAGGGGCATCATTCTCATGCTGCCCTCTTATCTGGTTAGCTTTGTCTTCCTTACAGCATGGAGTTTGTTGTTGTTGTTGTTGTTCTTTTTTTTTTTTTTTTTTTTGCATAGGGGATGATTTCTTCCAGATGTAGTATTCTAAGAAGCCAAAGTGGAAATTGCCTGTCTTGTTGAAGGTGAAGCCCAATCCTGGTGTAGTACTGCTTCTGCCATTCTGTGTTGGTAGCAGTCCAGTCATTGGCTACTCCAGATTCCAAAGGAGAGGAAATTACCCTCTCATTGATAAGGAGAATGTCAGAGAGTGTTGCCATCTTTAATCCACTGCCACCATGAAGGTGATCTTGCAGGGGGAGGAAGGACCAAAGGTTAGCCCAAGGAGCTGTGTGGAAGGATGACTTCCCTTTCCACTGTGCTTAGCTCTGTGACTTATCATTTTGGCCTCAATGATTGGAGAGAGATGTGAGAAATTTGGAGATGTTTCAGAGAAAAGAGGATCCCACAGAGATGATTTAAATGTTGGGGAGTAGGATCTGTATAGAGGGATTCTGAGAAGTGGAATTGATTTGGCCTGAAGTGGGGAAGATTGAGGGATGGTTGGATCATTCACTTTTAAATACCTGATAGTTGGTATGAAATAGATGCATGACCACAGAAAGTTGAGCAGAAATGAATTGGTTGGGCTGGAAATACCAAAGAATTTCTTAATCAGGATAGAGGCATCTCTGAGACCTGAGGAAAATTCCTTTTTCCTGAAGCTGCCTGAAAGAGAACACATTTTATATGTATAAAAGACTTAGAATTAGAATTCGTTTTACTGGATATGGAAATGGACAATCAAATCAGATTTTATTTTAAGTAGCAGAATCATTTTCTCAAGCAAAATGTTCTATAAAGCAGATGAGAAGTGGTGTTGTTTGGGTTAAGCAAAGGCATGGCTGAAGCCACTCATGTTCCCTTCTTGTCCCTTGTCATCTTAAGCAGTCCCAAAGATCCCTGTGTGAGACTCAATGACCCTGCAGAGAGAGTTTGAAAATAATTAAAATTGATAAAGAGTTTCCTAAGTGTTCCGTAAAAAGGTGGTACTTGGAGGTTTGTTTTTTTCCCCCCAACGGAAGTTAGGCTTTGAGGGCCTTGCAAAATTGCTGAATTCTTTTAATGGTTTAAATTTACGAGATCATATTATTTTTGAACTCAGATTCTGTCTTTTTTGTGTATTGTCAATGCTTAAAAATATACTTTCTATATGAATATTAGATACTAAGTGTACCTAAGTATAAGGAAAGCAATGGTTAAAATTTTTCATTTTAATCTTCTAGTTCAAATGAAATTAGCAGCTTTACTTTATTAGTGATGAATGATCAGTGAAATTAAGGGTTTCCAAAAATCTTTGTAAAAAAGAAAAATTTCACCAAAGCCATCACTCTTAGTTACTATCAGGTAGTTTCAAGAATAATCTATTCACTTTGTAGTATTCTTTGGAGTATTCTAACACCATTTTAATACACACATACTATTACAAGTTTACATAAAAATATAGATACATAAAGATTTCACAGTTGATACAACTTCTAATTCAAGGTGGGTGCATTGAGTGACTGCTCCATCTATGACCTTTCCTATGAAGGTCATCTAATTGGTAGAAAATACACTGAAAAATGATACACAATGGCACCAAAAATCAGGTGCAATAATATTGGATTTAAAAATATCCAATTATGGTTTTTTTTATCTCATAAAGAAAAATGACACAAAAATTGAAATGTTGGAATGGAAAAAGCTTACTAAGAAAATTCCAACAAAAAGAGAGTATTCCAATGTTAATATTAGAAAAAATAGATCTCAAGGTGAAATATCTTTAAAGGATTAATGAAGACACTCCATACTAAAGTAGAAGTTCACTAAAAGCATTTACCATCATAGGTTTCATGCAGCTGGTGTTAGTAGCTTTGACAAGCAGGTAGGTTTGAGGACTTAGCTTTTAGCATGATCTGTAGTTGCAAAACATAAAATAAAACAGAAAAGAACTAAAAGTCCATCAAATGGTGGTTGGTTAAATAGACAATAGAGTGTTAATACTTTGAAATACATTTTGACAAAGAATGAAGATAATCTTTCTAATATTATATCTAGCTCTCCAAATATATTGTTGACTGAAAGAGCAATTTTGTAAAAAGATGTGTTTTTAATAATATAAACCACTTGCATTAACACACATACAAAACAGTGCTATGTGTTTTATTTGTATACAGATGTTTTATATAAATAAATAAGAAAATTTAAACATATATATAAAAGATGTTATTGTGGATACTTCTGTTGACGGGGAAAAGGTGGGGGTGCTGATGCGAGGTGCTTAATCAGAAAGAACTTTAACCGTTATCTGGTTATCTGACATGCTTCTGCTTTTAATCAGAAAATTTTATTCTTTATTATTCATGCTATTGTTATATTTCTTTTTTGACCAGGATTGAACCCAGGGGTCCTTAGCCACTGAGCCATATCCCTAGACTTTTAAAGTTCTTTTTTTTTTTTTTTTTAACTTTGAGACAGGGTCTTGCTAAGTTGCTTGGGTCCTCGCTAACTTGTTAGGGCTGGCTTTGAACTTGAAATCCTCCTGCCTCAGCTTCTGGAGCTGCTGGGATTACCATGTTATTTTTTTTAAACACCATGATTTCAGGAAGGGCTATACTAGTCAATGTGTCGAGTTGATGTACTTAGCTGTAAGGAGTGAATCTGAATGCTAAGACTGGACCAGCAAAGGAGCTGTATCACCCTACATAACAAGGTGTTGAGCGGGGTTGAGGGCTTACTAAGTGCAAAGTTCAAACATGTACCAACGGAGACTCATCTATTTCTTTGCTTGAGGCATCCTCGAAGTTCATTTAATCCTCAGGCTGAGAGCAAGATAGAGTCAGCAGTTGCAAGCGAACATGGAGAGGAACGTAATAGTTAGCAAATGTCTCTAGTACTTGCTGTTGTGCACCTGCAGTTTACATGCCTTAACTCATTTCCACCTCAGAACTCATTTTACAGATGGAAAAACTGAGGTGTTGAAAGACTAAGTAACTTGCCAAAGCTTACATAATTAGTAAGTGGTAGATTCAAACCCAGGCCTTCTATGGCATGGCAATATGTGACTTGATCTCTGCTTTACTTGTTTCCTCTCCTCCCCCCCCCCTGCCCCAACCCGCCCCCATTTCCTGTCTTTTCCAATGACTCTCTCAAAAGAGTAAAGAAGAATTTCCAGAACATTCCTAACATCCTAACATTCTTTGCATCGGCTCATGCTTCCTTCTGAACCAGATTACTGTTGGCCAAAACAGACCATCCTCAGAGTTGACGTGGGGTCAGCTTCCCCAAGGGACATCAGGTAGAGAACCACAGACATGTGGAACTAACCAGGTTCTCTTTGGAAGGAAAAAGGGGTCAGGGGAGAGTGTTGATTCCAAGGAGAGAACCTACTGTATCCAGTAAAGGTGACGACAATTGGTTCCTCGTGGTTCAATGACTCTTTCACTTGACTGCTTGTTATGTCAGGCACCCAAGTGAAAATCCCCAGAAAGCAATCAGATATATGATTCAAATCTTTTTTTCTTTTTAAATAAAATCCTTTTTTTTAAAGAGAGAGAGAGAGAGAGAGAGAGAGAGAGAGAGAGAGAGAGAGAGAAAGAGTTTTAATATTTATTTTTTAGTTCTCGGCGGACACAACATCTTTGTTGGTATGTGGTGCTGAGGATCGAACCCGGGCCGCACGCATGCCAGGCGAGCGCGCTACCGCTTGAGCCACATCCCCAACCCTATGATTCAAATCTTGAGAAAAATCTGGGCTGGAACTAGAGATCTGAGTATCACCAACACATAGATTGTGATTGAAGTCACAGACTGCAGAAAATTCCCATAGGAAAGAGTATAGAGACTTGAGGGAGGATGATCTACAAGAAGATTCTGTCTTTCACTTTTGAAGTACATTAAGTAAAACATTTTCCTATGATTAAAAAAAACCTATAACTACATTTAATATACATAGATGTTATTAATAAATAGGCATGTGTATATTTTTATAGTTTATCCTAAACGTCGAGAAGGCACTTGTTCTTTGCTAGTCCGAGATGTTAAAAGGTCTAATAATCAAACCTTTGAAAGAATAATGTAAAAGTGTCCCTGACTCAATGAAGTCATCTTGTGGATGGTCACCGAGTTGTGTCCTGTTATGCATGGCCTATCCATTTGCTTTGTATGTGTCTCATTTTCAGCAAGCCAGGAGATGACTGTGTGTTAGAGGGCTGATCAACAGGCCCCATGTCTCTGAGGCTTACTCCAGTAGAGATTTCTCTCTTGTTCACACTGCAGGCCAACTTGGCAGGGGGCTGCTCCTTTCACTTAGCAGCTTCATCACACCCTTGAGCTGGGAAGTCCTCTCCCTGGTCTTCAGCCTTTGGGTAGCAGGTAAAGGAAAAAAGAAAGAACATACAGAATTGCATGGGAGGTCTCTGGCCAGGTCTGGAGTCGGTGAACATTGCTTCTGACCCACATGCCATTACAAGCCCATGGCACAGGGTCACAGCTAACTGTAAGGAAGTCTGAAAATACCTAGCTGTGTGTGCTGGAGGAGGAAGAAGATGGGTTGGTGGCACCTAGCTAGTGTCTGGGGCCCCATGGTACAAGTGAAACATTTACATCATGTGAAGTTTAATGTTTCTATATGGTATCGATCCCATATCTTGTTCCTATTTATAGGAAAGTTTGCTTAAGCTATGTTCTTCCTCACTCATTACAGCTTGGGAATTATTCTTATTTTATATTTCTACTTATTCAAAATCCCTTCATTTGCGCTTTTGTTTTTGGTGATTCTTCCAAGTTCTCTGCTTTCCATTTTTCAAACTTGTTCTACTTCAGTCAGAATTCATTTGATCTCTTCTCCAATGCTTCAGCGAAAAAAAATTTTTTTTTCCTGGGTTCTTACATGTAGGTTAGCTATTTTTACGCATCTCAAAACTTTTAAACTTTTCAATAAGTGGTCAAACATTCAAAGGTACATACCATTATTTGATTCATTAAATAAAACCTCAGAAATGTGCTCTGTGTTATATTAAGTTCAAAGCAGCCCGTTTGTGTTTAACATTACGGATGGCAGAAATGATAAGCTTAATTTAAAAATATGAAGTAAAGAAATGACCAGAAACTCATAGAATTCTTGATAAACAGTCATCAGGTACCTGTCAACTGTCATTGTTAACGTTTAAAAATTAACCACTATGGTTTTCATGTGATCCCAGCGTGATGAGGTAAAAACCACACCCGGCTGAGCCCGGGGGAAGCAAGCTCGGGCATTTCAGATACATTGATATTATTTTTTCCATTGTTATCATTACCATTAAGATCAACAAGGTGCTTAGGGACACATTAAGCCACAGCTGTTGCAATTAATTGTACCCTTATAACCTCAAGAGACAAGCCCCTGCAGTGGCCAGCTTAGTCCCAGGGAGTGACAAGTCCTAACAGGAGGGAGGCCTTGGCACAGTATTCTTTGGGTCCCTCCCCGAAGACAATCAGTAGCTTGACTAGGTGGGGCTGGGGCCAAGCCTGGCCTGAGGCCGGGCTGGGCTGGGCTGGGCTGGGCTGGGTTGGGGCTGGGCTGGGGCTGGTGGCAATCTCTTCAATGCATGACTTTTCATTGGCTGGGCTGCACCCCACTCGATTACTCTCTCGCTGGGTGACTCCACTTTATGCAAAGTGAAGCAGCCTAGAAACCACAAACAGAATACCTGACAATTTGCTGCCATTTTATAAGAGTGGCTCTTGGGGCCATCAGCTGGCCTTTTGTAGGAAGAGGTCTATGTACTCACCATCACAGCCAGCACGGAGTGGTGGCCACAGCCCTTCTGCAGTAGACCCAAGACTGTGATATTTGTCTTTGCTGAAATTCATGAACCTTGCCTGCCTGAAACTTGATCAACGTGATGTACTCATCATGTCACACAAATGGCGCATAATATCAGTTTTTTAAAAAATTTGTATAAGTGACCTGTTTTACAGCTTGATTGGAAAACAGAATTAAACTCTTGAAGGTTGTGTGAAAAGAAGTCTAGGCAGAATTAAATCTCATCTGACCTTGACTATCTGCTGAATCTAAGCACATGTTCCTCACATTGTTCTTGCCTCAGTGGGATAATTAATTGGTGATTCCACTACTTGTTTGTGCAAAAACAAGGTTTGGGGTGGTCCCATGCCAAACAAATGCTCAAAATAAAGATAAAAGTTCATTTCTTTATAACCTGCCTCCTGGTAAACGTAAAGCTTGTTCTAACGTAGCCAAGGACCTGGGGCAAAGTAGGAAATCAGGGGAAAGAGAGAGAGATTTTAACAAACAGTTTAGCACCGTGTGCCAAGCTGTGGGGAAGCAGGGGAGGGCCAGGTGGGCACCTGCCTGAGCTGGGAGGTTGGTCTTCAGCAGGATTCCTCTGTACTGTTTCTTTCTGGATGAAATCTGTGGGCTCTGACTCTTCACTGTAGAAAATAGTCCTTCAGCTCGCATTAAACATGTCACTGTTAAAAAGGAAGCAAAAGTAGAAATCCCTCTGAGTGGAAAAAGGAGAGAGAGGAGTAGGAAAATTTCGATTGGTCTCATGGAACATCAGCCACTCCTAAGGTTCTGCATGCCAATGTCAAGAAGGATCTGTGAGCAAGACGCTGGACGTCAGGCAGGAACAGCCAGGGGTCACATGTCTGTCTCTGGAGCTACATAATACTACATAGGACTCCACTTGGCAGAACAGCATGCAGAGAAGGAGACGAGCAAAAGGTTAAGAGATGGCGGGATGTTGAGTAGTGGATTAAGTTATGGTTGCCTGGAGTGTCCTTTTTTTTTTTTTTAATAGGAATACACACACACACACACACACACACACACACACACACACACACATGCTCAAAAACAACAATGAAAACTTTAGAAAACAATCTGAGATCAACAGGGGGAAATCATCCTCGAGAAAACTTGACTTTCCGAAGCCAAGAGGCCAATGAAAGACGGGTTCTTCCCAACATAGGAACAGAATTTTCATCCAGCAGAGAAGTGCTGTAGTAAGAGGAACAAAAATAACCTTCTGGTTTAGCTCTGGTCAGATTAAAATACACAGGCTTGGGAGCCAGACTAACACTCAGGAGCTCATGAATCTCTGGGCCTCGCTTTCCTCATTGGTAAAATGGGGGATAGTAATAGTACCATAAAGTTATCATGAGGATTAAATGAGTAATTTTTGCAAATCCTCATAGTAGTCTGACACATGGTAAGTAGTAAATAAATCTTACTTATTGCAATAATAATGCTATTATCATTGCCATCATCATTATTACCAGAATAGCCATAATCTGTTATGGACGTTGTTTATGGACGTTGCTGACTCTTTAATATTGAATTTGGGGAAATGGGTATAGCAATATTTACCTCAAAAGAGTTGTTTACAGGATTAGAGCTAATGCGTGCCAAACACCAAGAACGTTCTCCATGTTTCTTGAGAAATGTTAGTATTATTTCTAGTTTTAAAGAATGTATTTGGGGCCAACATTTTTTGAGCCCTTCCTGTGATGGGTACTGGGTTCATCTCTTTGTGGCCCTGTGTGGTCTCTCTTAGTGCATGTTCCAGGTGAGCTTAGAACAACAGAAAATGAGGTTTATAACAAATGTGTTAAAAGTATGTGCCATATTTGTGCAATAAACGTTATCAAAAATATGGGTTAAGAAAAAAACAACAGCCAACCAGTGGGACTCCTCTGGATTTGGCTGCAGATGACAGAAGCCAATGAAGACGTGACTCCTAACGTGGGACGAGCCTGGGTGTCTCCGTGTGTATTATTTTCTCCCCCTGGCCCAGATGGCCTCTATTGCTTTCACATTCACTGGGTCCTAACTTCCACTCTGTCTCAGAGAACTGTCTGGTCTCATCTGGAAGACCCATTAGTTCCCGTGGGGCCGGCTGCCCCCAGAAAGTGGGAGTATAGCTAGGATAACTAGCAACAGGGCTGACATCCCCCCCCACCCCCAGGGTTGGACTCTGGTTGGGCTGCTCAGGGAAATCCTGTTTTCTTTTGGGGGTAGTGGGGTGGAGTTGGAGTGAGGGGCCTCATGAATCAGAATTTGGCTTGGCAGGCTCTGAGTCACTTATCTTCTGAAGATAGTGCCCGGGATGCCCGGGCTACATCACCAAGGTTTCCAGCTGTCAGCATCAGGGTGTTAACTGGCTGTTTTTCCTTTAACACCCATTAATGTTCACCTGGATGTTTTAATTTGGGTGTCTTTGAAACCTGGACTGTCTTAGCTTTGTCAAGGTACTACTTAGCATTTAGGTGCTATAAGACATTGGCTCTATTTATGTCTTAAAAACTTTACAGGGCCTTTGAAAGCGTTCGCACCAAATCACTGGAGATTGTATCAGCACCCAGTATGTCATCCACATGAGTGTCCTTGGAGTCTCACCATGAATAATGTGACTAACAAGCATAAAGTGAGGCCACCCAGCACATCTGGAGCCACATCAGCCTGACTCTTCAGGTAACTTCCTGGAATGGAGCCCAGTAAACAACCTTCACAGAGGCTTCTGTCTTGCTGGACAATTTTTCCTGCCAACAGGGTTGAGCCTGAGAACATCTAAGATCTGCAGCCCTACTGTGGGCCAGGGTGCAAGGATGATTAATTTTTAAATTAATAGACTTTACTTATTTTAAAAAAAGTTATCATTATTATCGTTATTATTTTGGTACTGGAGATTAAACCCAGGGGCTCTTAACCAATGAGCCACATCCCCAGCCCTTTACAGGGTCTCACTGAGTAGCTTAATGCCTCACCCTTGCTGAAGCTGGCTTTGAACTCAAGATCTTTCTGCCTCAGCCTCCCTCCCGAGCCTCTGGGATTTTAGGTGTGCACCACTGCACCCGGCTTAAAAGTTTTTTTTAATTGACACATAATAATTTACATATTTGAAGGTACAGTACATGTGTCCAATGTGTAATGATCACAGCAGGGTGATTGGCATTTCCATCTCCTTCAATAGTCATTATTTCTTTGTGTTTGGAGACTAATAAGAACCCTGGTATAGTTTTCTAACTCTTTATAAAATATATAGAGGGGGTTGGATAACAGGTTCCACAATGCAGCTAGATGGGACGACATTCTAATGTTCTGTAGCATTGTAGGGTGACTGTAGTTTAATAAGCTTTATTTTTAAAATGCTTTTATTTGTTCTTTTAAGATATACCTGACAGTAGAATGTATTTCAATGAATCGTCCATTCATGGAGTCCCATTCCTGTGGTTGAACACCATATGGAGTTTCACTGGCCGTGTGTTCATATATGAACATGGGAAAGTTAGGTCCAATCCATTTTGCTGTCTTTCCTATTCCCATCTGCTCTCCCTTCCCTTCATTCCCCTTTGTCTAATCCAATGAACTCCCACCCCCACCCCACCCCCTTATTGTATGTTAGCATCTACATATATGAGAGAACATTTGGCCCTTGGTTTTGGGGGATTAATAAGCTTCATTTTTTAGAACTGTTTTAGGTTCACAGCAAAATTGAAGACAAAGTACCATGTAGCCTCTGTCTCCGCTGATTCCCGGCTCCCCACTTCCCACACCTGGTGCCAGGTTTGTTCCACTCCACGGCCTAGACTGGCACACCTTCCCCCAGAGCCCGTGGTTTTCGTGAGGGTTCACACTGGGTGCTGGGTGTTGACTAATGTGTAACAATGTGTGTCCACCCTTATAGAACCAGGCAGAATGGCTCCACTGCCTTGATGTCCTCTGTCCCCTCCTTTCCCTTCCTACCACCTGAAGTTGAAGGATTTTAAAATCTTCTAATACAAAGAATTTCATTTTGTAATAATCAGTTGCTCCCTGGGGAAAAGAATTCCAGTGTCCTTCCAGCTGTTCTATCCGTCTCCCTCCAGCCACAGCGAGGCTGGTGGAGGTGGTATGAGAGCAAGGAAAAATACCTGCCATTGGGGCTGTGGATGTGGCTCACGTGGTAGCGTGCTCGCCTGGCATGCCTGCGGCCCAGGTTCGATCCTCAGCACCACATACAAAGATGAATAAATATTAAAATTCTCTCTCTCTCTCTCTCTCTCTCTCTCTCTCTCTCTCTCTAAAAAAATACCTGCCATTGCCTCTTTCTCTATTTCCTGGTCTCCCCCTGCTTTTATTTTTTATTTTTATTATTATTATTTTTTGGTACCAGAGATTGAATCCAGGGGAACTTAACCACTGAGCCACATCCCCAGCCCATTATTTTTTATTTTGAGATAGGACCTTACTAAGTTGCTGAGGATAGCCTCAAACTTGTGATCCTCCTGCCTCAGCCACTAGAGTCACAGGGATTATAGGCATGTACCACCATGGCTGGTCTCCCTCTGATGTCCCAGTCTTCTTGACCCAGAGAAGGCAAAAGAGGCTTTTCTAGTTACAGACAATGCCGAGTTCCCATTAGTTGTATTTGCTTGTGGCCTGGGTCAATGTGGGATATTCATGTTGCCTTAATACTGGTGGCAGAGTAATACTGTGCACATTTTACACAGTTAATATAAATCTTAATTGTTCCAAGTAAATAGTTGACAATGTCTAGTTTAATAGATTAAGTGGATGAAATGGCCAACTGATCATCTCTCCAGACAGTTAGAAAATAAAATAAAATAAAATCCATTTGTTTTATTTATGCAAAAAGCTTTGGGCACACAAAGAAGGGACACTTTGGAGGGCACCCTGGCTCTGAGTTCTTCTGTAGAGTCTGGAGGATGGTTAATGACACAGAGATATTTTTACATCAAAGCCTGAGGAAAGCACCAGGTTTGCCCCAAGGTATGTCCTCCTCTGTCAACTCAGGACCTGGGAAGGGTGTGGCCCCATCATATGGGCCATGCTTTAGGACAGACCGCAGGCCCAACAGGCAACTGGGCCAGAACCTCCCTGTGAGGGAGAACTGGTCAGGGAAGGTTGCAGAAGGCTTGCAGAGACGTGCTGGAGAGCAGGCATCTCACACTGTCAGGGTGGAGACTCGTAAGGGTCTCAGGAAACAGAGCAGGACCTGGGTGGGGTCAAACCCAAAAGGAAGATATATAGAGCCTGCAGCTAATCTTTCAGCATCCATGAGGCAGTCCGTGTGTGCCGGGCACAGTTCTCTGAGCATGTGACCCTTGGCACTACCTGATTCTCAAACTCATGCAGCACAATCATGGCTTGTTAAAATACAGGTGGCGGGCCCCACCCCTGGAGTTTGTGCGTCAGTAGTCAGTAGTGTGCTCTCTCTCTCTCTCTCTCTCTTTGTTTTCTAGAGCTCAGCCATCATCTCATGTCTGTTTGGGTCCTTCCCTCTCCAGGACATCTTCCCTGCCTCAGTTGTTTCTCCTCTGAACTTTTCCAGCTCAAACTGAGTTCAGGGCAGGGACTTGAATGCTTGTTCTGCTACTTGCCAGATCTGTGACTTTGAATAAGTTCTTTTGTTGCTCTGTGCCTCCAATTTTCTCACATGAAAAATGGGAATTATAACATAGTA